AGGATTACACTTATCTTAGGGTTTAGCTAGTATTGAAAACATCTTAAAGCTCTCAAAGATTTCTCCTTTCTTCCTTGTTTCATTTTCAATCGGACTCCCCTTTTCTTCCTCTTGACCAAACTCTCTTTCCTTTCCTTTCCTTTCAACCAACTATTTCTCTTAGCCAAACTTGTTTTCCTTGGTAATTTTGATTATCTCTCTAGTTGTTTTTAGGTTTATCAAGGCTAAAATATCACAAATAACTTAACACTCTCTTTTTTATTTTCCTTTTTGGTTGATCTAGAATATTCAAGAAGCTCAACATATTTTCTTCCTTTTTAGCCGATCTTAACATAATTCAAAAGAACTTAGGATGAACACATGTGTGGGATACTTGTATGTTACTAAGCTAAGAGAATTTTCTAGATTAAACATGTAATCAAGAGATGTTTCTAGATTAACCTATATTAAGTCTTGTATGGAATACTAAATAAGCTTTATTCTTAGGTTAGCACATGTATAAGAAACTTAATCAAGTTATATTTTTAGGTCCTTTAAGTTTATTTGACTTAACAAACTAGTCACTTTACTTTATCACTTAACTCTCTTAAACCACTGAATCTTTTAATTGTCATACTTGGGTCCTTTAGTCACTCACACACTCAAAATACTTAGCAACATCAACTTGCAAAGACAAGCATTTATTAATGTAAGTATAAAGCATAACATGCACAAGCTTCACAAAGAAACATACAAATGCACAAAAATGTTTGAGGTCTTAGGTATTACATCCTCTTCTCCTTGCAAAAATTCTATCCTCGGAATTTGAATTACTTAAATATATCCATATAATTCAGCAAGTATCAAACATATTCATATGATTCATTAAGTAAACATAATACACAATATCAAATACGTGTATGTTGAAGATGTTATTAGAGCTCGAGTTTATGTGTAATATTTAGGTCTATAAAATCATGTTGTTATGTTATCAAATTTGTAACACCCTAACCTAAAAGAGACTAAGAGTGTTACAACAATGCCACACACTCAAAGAATGTGAGGTAAAACTCTATGTCCTCTACCTCGTATATGAAATATAATAAACAACGGAGTTATTTAAGTTTAAAGTTCAAGTTCACCTTTAGTTTGACACATTTACATTTAAGCCAACAAGTTTCATTAATCATAAATTCATTTTATAACCTCATAATTCAATTTCATAAATGAAAACTATTTCATTATCTCACATCATGCTTATACATTAACTTACCAAAATGTAACTTGAGTTTACAAACCAAAGTGACTAAAAAATGAGACATAGTTATTGTTTAGCATTTGAACTCTAAACTCATACATATAGTACACACTTTGGAAAACTTAACTAGTTTCTTATAGCATCTTCAATACCACAACGTGTCTTCAAGTATCATTAGCTTACCTATATACCACAAGACATACTATGAGTCGATGATTAATAAGTGTAATCATACATGAATATAAGAAAATACATTTTTATGACATTAAAATACATAGTATGTAACACCCTCGACCAAAAAGGAGGCAAAGAGTGCTATGATAATGCCTCACATCCATAGGATGCAAGAGAAAACCCTATGTCTTCTACCTCGTATAATGCGGATCGAAAATATTTAGCTTTAAAGTTCAAGACTTGCCTTTAGTTTAACATATTTATATTTAAAGCTAACAAGTTTCCTTAAACTTAAATCCCTTTCATAACCTCACAATTCAATTTTATAAATGAAAACCATTTCATTACCTCGCATCATATTTATACATTAACTTACCAAAATGTAAATTGAGTTTACAAACCAAAACGATAGAGCATATGAGGCATAGTTATTGTTTAGCCTTTAAACTTTAAACCTATATATGTAGTACATATTTTGACAAATTCGACTCGCTCTTGGCAACATCTTTAATATCACAACACGTCTTCATGCATCATTAACTTACCTACACATTATAAGCCAAACCGTAAGCTAAAGCTTAGTAAATATAATTATGTATAAATGCAAAAAAATATATTTTTCATACTACTTGAAATATATTTTTCATCTTTCGAGTGCACCCAACTAAATGTCTAATTATTCAACCCTTAATGAAAATCATCCTTTATAAAAAAATCATTTGATATTAGTGGAGTCATGATCAATTCCACTACCAATACATGTTAGTAAGACCATTACCAATTCCCTAACTAATTCTTTATAAAGACCATTTGGTATTAATAGGACCATTACCAATTCTCCTATCAATACTTCCATTCATGAACCCGGCAAAAAGTTAATACCTTATGAAGAGTTAATCGTTCCCTTTGTAAGCCCTCTTGTCCTTTTATCCTTTATACATAGCATATGGTGTTAGTGGGGCCATTATCAATTCCTCCACTAATACATGTTAGTAAGGTCATTACCAATTCTCCTACTAACATATTTTATAAGCCATATGTTATTAGTAGAGTCGTTGTTAATTATCTTACCGGTACCTCTTTTCTTGAAAACATTTATTTGTCTTTTTCTTTAAATGCATAAAAACATGATAACAATATTTTCATTATGTGGATGTTATCTAAATGCAAATATCAAGTTACCATGTGAACATATAACCACCTATCCTCAAACATAATTATGAACCCGAATCCATCAAGCAATATAACAAGTGTTAAATCGGCAAATAATTCCATGAACACATAACCAAATAGCATCAAGTAAATACATGAACTTAAAGCCATCAAACAACATCACAAGTATTTAAGTATTAATTAAACATATAAACATAGTATCAAGTAGAAACATCTTCACAAGTGATTATCAAGTAAACATATACTAGTCATCCAAGTAAGGATATCATCACTTTAAGTGTAAAACATCAAGTAAGCATATCATCATATATGTTCAATCATCAATTAGACAAACATACACCTTAATTCCTATAACATCTATGTCTTATGATAAATTAGGTTACACTTACCAATAATCAAGTACACATGTGATCACTTAAACACATCATCTCAAGTATTCAATTATTAATAAACACATGAACATCAAATAAACATATAACAATCCCATGACACCTAAGTCTTATGGTAAGTTGAGACTACACTTACTAATCCTCAAGTAACCATGTCATCACTTAAAATACAACCATCAAGTAAACATGTCATCACATATGTTCAATTATTAATCAAACACATGACACAACAATCCTACAACTATAATCTCTTATGGTGAGTTGAGATTACACTTACCTTATGGTTTAGCTAGTATTGAAAGCACCCTAAAGCTCTAAAAAATCTCCTCCTCCTTTCTTGCTTCACTTTATACTAGACTTCCTCTCTCTTCTTCTCGACCAAGCTGTCTTTCCCTTCCTCTCGACCAACCTCTCTTTCTCTCGACCAAACTTGTTTTCTTTGGTAATTTTGATTTTCTCTCTTGTTGTTTCTAGGTTTATCAAGGCTAAAATATCACAAAAGACCTAGCACTCTTTCTTTTATTTTCTCTCTTGGCCGACCTAGAACATTCAAAAAGCTCAAGATATTTTCATTATCTTTTCTTCCTTCTTAGTCGACCTTAATGTAATTCAAAAGAATTTAGAATTAACACATGTGTGAGACAACTTGGTATGGTTACTAAGCCAAAGGAGTTTTCTAGATTAAACACCTAATCAAGAGATGTTTCTAGATTAATCTAGATTAACACTTGTATGAGATACTAATTAAGGTTTTTTCATAGGTTAACACATCTATGAGACACTTAATCAAGTTATATTTTTCCTCAAATTTGATTGACTTAACAAACTCGGTTGCTTTACTTAACTCATTTAACCTCTCGATCTTTTAATTTCACACTTGGGTTCCTTAATCACCCATAAACTCAAAATACTTAGCAATAAGCATTTATCAATGTAATCACAAAGCATATCATACACATAATTAACAAATAAACACACAAATATATAAAAATGTTGGAGGTATCAAATATTACACCTAGGTTTTTATTGATTACTGTTACGGATTACTAATATCTTGTTGAACTTCCTACTTATTTGTTTTGGCATGAATCTCTTTTTGAACTTGGGTTATGGAAAAGTGATCGAGGAGACGGACTTCGAAGAAGTCGTGCGTCTTGTCATGTAAGTGTCCGACAACACTCATCCATGTCTCGCACTCATTAAGGACATTAAATGCTTCTCATTTGTAATTGAGATTGTAAGGTTATTTGTACTCTCGGGGATGACAATCAATGTGTAGGCCATTTTGTCAAACAAGAGCTCAAAGTTAGAGTTTCGAACATAATTGCACTCCTTCTCTCCCTAGCATGCATGAGCTGTTACTAGGGGATAGTGGAATCTGTTGAGCGTTTTCTTCTCTAGAGAGTAGTCTATATAAAAACCGGTTTTGGACTACAAAAAGAGGTATTATTGTCCTTTCTAAATCTCACCATTTTCTTTTCAAGTTTTGAATATGAAATCTTCTAATGAAAAAAATCATTTTTTTTATCTGAAAAAAAAGTCTTAACGATTGGATTGTGAGCATTGTAAACTCTGTTGAACGATTAATGAATAATTACGCAGCAATTAAGGAGAAAATAATTAATTAACAAAAAAAAATAGAAAGCAAATAATTTCCCTTGGCGGCCCAATCCTCTCAATTACTGGGCCGTGTCTGACAAGAAACAAAGGAGCAATAGCGGTAATCAGAGTGATGTCGTTTTCCAATCGCCACATTCAGATCCAGCCAGCTCCCCGAAGTATACAACAGTAATAGCAGATCCCCACACCCAGCACCGATCTCCCCGCTCCAGTATAATTTTGTGCTTCCACCTTAGACGACGCCGTTCCTCTCCCCTCCTCTCCTTCCCCGTCTCCCTCTCCCTCTTTATTAAAAAGAGTCACCATAAAAGCTTTGATCGAGAGAGCGAGCAAGAATTCCATCGACCGAGAGAGAGAGAGAGAGAGAGAGAGAGAGGAATTAGAGCTTTAATTGATCGAGAGTGAGAATGTCCAAGAAGAAAACGGCGTCGACTATGTCGTTGAAGGACTTTCATGGCGGTTCTATTCCCTCTGATCTCCCTCTTCCTTCTGCTCCTGGCGTGTAATCTCTCTCTCTCTTTCTCTCTTCAATTCAGTTTACTCTTTGTTATTTCATCCTTCCTTGTGTGTGATTTTGATCTAAATTAAATTGAGTTAGGTTAATTTATTTAATTTTTTATTTTGCTTTATTAATTTTCAAATTTCAGATCTTAAAAATATTTATTTATTTATTATTCTTTGTTTGCTTCAGTATGGTGAAACCTGGTTCGGACAGAAATGCTTCAACGAATTGGGGAAACAATTTGATGCGGCCGGATCTCCGTCCACGACCGAAGTCGTCGGGTGCTGCACGTGGTTTTGATGAGAAAGCTTCGTTTTTATCTCACCCTGCACCTATAGGAAGAAATTTTGATGAGGATGAGCGTAAGCCGTTAGATGGTTCATCTGCTCCTCGTCGTACTATCAGCGATGAAAATGGTGGTGTTTCAGCTCCGGTTCATCAAGAATTGAAGCCGGAGTATGTTTCGTCGGTTAGGGTGCCTGATAGACCGGTGACAAGCCCGGTACCACAGTCTCCAAGTTTGGGTTCCAATTTGTCTCCGTTGAGATCGGGAGGGGGTTCGGTTGTAGTTAGTTCGCAGAATTTGGGTGGTTGGGGGGCTAGTAATTCAGCAATTCCAAGTGGTAATAATGGTCAGGGTGTGATTAGCAGTCCTCCGAATGCTTGGGGAGTGAGGAGGGATGTGATGGGTGGTCATGAGGTGAGGGGTTCTTCTGTGTCGTCGGCATCAAATACTGTGTCAAAGTTTGCTCAAGCAAGTGCACTTGAAAAAGTATCTTCAGGATTGTGGCAGTCAAAGAATCCTGGTGACCTTTTACCACATTTGATTTATTCACAGGAGAGTAATGCAAGTCATAGTGTGGATGTGGGTATGGAAAGAGGTGATTATGATACTTCAAGGGGAAGTCAATCTGAAAATGGTGGGGTTACTGGAGATAGAAATCAGGGTGGGGGAAGGACACTGCCGAATTATAGAAGGGATCAACCTCAAATGCACTCAGAAGAGGTTCGTACTGGTGGTACTGTCGGGTCTCAAACTCGACCAGCAGTCCCTCCAGAAGTATCAGATCGGCCTAAGTTGAATCTTTTTGCTAGAACTAAACCATTGGAGAGACCAGAAACGGACTACATACAGGTATAGCATTGGTTTTCTGGTGCTGTTTTAATGCTTTCTTCAAGTTGATTGCTTGGTGATCATGACGTGCTCTCTATTTTTTGTTAAATATAGGGGTACCAGCAGCCTATAGTATCTGGGAAGATTGAAGTTGTCCATGAATTGTATCGAAATGAAAGTCCTTCAAAACCAGGGTTGGCTGATGCCAAGATTGGTAGTCAGTCAGTTGAGAGACCAGTTGAGCGTCCCAGATTGAATTTGAAGCCTCGCTCACAACGTATTGAAAAATCTGATGGAAGTTTTGAAAAAGAAAGGTTCGTAAGTTTTTTTTCTTCTTAATCAAATAATCAAATGTACATGGACGTTTCTTATTACTTGATATATTTTGGCAGAAGAATTTTCTTGTTCTTTTAGCGATTACAAAGTCATTACTGAAAATAGGGTGATGCTTGGTTCTGAGGAATATGTATTTTTAAACAAATTAATAACTAAGTCATATTTAGACTTTTGCTTAGTAACTGCACTGAGCAGATGATTAGCATTTGGGTGCCATTTCTTGTTTTGTAGTTCAAGATTGGAAGATATTCAGACTGCATTGAATTTTTTGAGCATATAGTATTAATTAATATCAGTACTCTTCTTTATTATTTTTGGTTTGGTTGTTGTGGGGGGGGGGGGGGGTTTCTTTGAAAAATTATTTTCATGCTTCAGTCTCCACTGTACGTATACATCCTTTTTGGTGTATAATTGCTACTTTGCTAGTCTAATAAGCAAATGTTTTGGAAGCTTCTTCACAACGATTTGTTCAACTTATTTTGTTTATGTTATTTTGTTTCTTTCCGTTGCGGATCCAATATTCTTTTAGTTGCTTGACAGTTGATGTTCAATTTGATCACTTATATGAGTCTTAGCTGCTGGTCCACCTTCTCTTTGTGAATACATTTGCTTTACAGATGTGACCTAATTTTGGTTGATGCCTGATTAATTCCTCTTATCCTCTTCTTCTGTGAATTCAGTTATCTTTTGAGAATGAACATATGAGATACCCGCTATTGGTCCGTAGTCAAAAGTCAAAAACATTACTGATGGCTCAACGACTTGATTCTGTTTTAGTAGTTGCTAGACTATTTTTTTTTTTAACTTTGCTGAAACATGAGTGGATTGTCTGTGAATTTGTAGTTCATTTTACGCTTAATAGCTCATGCTGTGTGCTTAGCTGCCCCTATCTGGCTTGCCTGACTGGAGTGCCATCCTTATCTGTGGTCATCTTTGCTTGTTATTATTGTGTTTAATGAGCAACTGTTGTTGAAATCCTAGTTATAAGTTATAACTGAGGAAGTAGTGGCAGAGCTAGGTTTTTTGCAACAGTGAGCGAGGCAAAGAAAAGGGGACAAAAGGTGTTCGATTAATTGAGGGAGAGGGCATGTGGGAGGGGTCTTTTGAACTTTTTGGAGCAAGCCATGGTCCTCACTGGCACCTAGCCTCTGCCAGAGTGAGGAAGTGGTGCATGGCCACGGTTGGCTTTGTATTTATTATGGAGAATGTTTTTGCCGTTTTCCTGCCAAAAAAAAGTAATTTATGTTTCTGCACTAACACTTCCCCAAATATGTCATGCTTTGGGTCTCCTGATGTGATGGGATAATACCTGCATGCTTTATTTTCTGAATCAGTTGCTCTATTTGCTGTTATGTAGCTACATTTTAACTTTGGAAAAGTTATTTCATACTAAAGTGAGGGGATTGGAAGATTGGTTGGAATTGGTAGGTTGGTGGTTCGTTTGTTTGCTGACTACAATCTCCCAATAGTTGGGCCTGTAGCCATCAAGTGTTTCTCCTCTTGACACTCTTGAATAAACATAACTGCCTCAATTCTGATGAAAAGATAATAGACCATGCTTTCAACAAACGGAGGCTTGTTGCCTGGCGTTTCTATGACTGTGCTAACTGTTCTGTTCTGAGATGCCAGCCTTTTATTTGTTCAGTAATTTGATTTTCATCACCAAATCAGCCTTTTGTGGTAGTTGTTCTGTTTTAGGGTTTGTATGCTGTCAAGTGCTCTTCAGTGTCTTGTTATGGGCACTCTCTGCCATGTTTCTTTTGCAAATTGCAAAATGCACCAACTCCTCCCTTTTGCTGGGCAGGTGGTTATCTGTTAAGTATCATTATCTATCTGATGTCTTCTTTCACTGATGCAGGAGTACATTGTTTGGCGGTGCACGTCCCCGGGAATTGGTATGTATTCATCATCTGTTATTTATCATTATTATTCTGGAGTCATGAATATTTACTTTTCATGAATTTCTTATATATTTGCATCATTCTTTTTTCAAGTTTTATGCTTTTCATTTGCACACTGATGCCTCCCATCCCCACCCATTGTTTTTCATTTATCTTTTTAACATTAATTTGTTAGATTTTATTTGTCTTCATTATCAACTTGGTTCTCTAATTTGGCTCGTATAGTTTGCCCTTTTGCTTCTAGATGATGATGTTCAGTTAAATGTATAAAGTTCGCGAATAACTTTGCATATTTCTCTCAGGTTCTCAAGGAACGTGGTGTGGATGACACAGCGATTAACCTTGACCTAAATCATTCACCCAACAGGTAGTTACTTTCCTTACTGTCTTTCAGAGACCTTGTTATGTTGCTTGGTCAAACTTGGTCTTCTTTTATCTTGTATATCATTCCTACTCGCTATTATTGGTTATGTTGTTGATGTCTTTCATTCTGTGTAATGGCACCATGCCTTGTGCGATTTAATCAATAATCTCAGACGTGGTGTTTATATGTTCTATTAAAATCTGCATATGTATGCATGATCAAATATAGATCTCAAGATTAGCAGTTGCTAATGATGATTGAATTTTTCTGTATGAAAGGGTGAATTCTCCCAAGAATGAAATGACATCAGAACATGGGGTTCCAACTGCTCGTCAGAGTCAGAAAAATGACAACCGTGGGGCTAACAACAGAAGGAACGACAGGAGGGATTCTGAGAGAAAAGATCAACGGATGGACCATGAGAAAACTGATGGGGAAAGGAAGAACTGGAGGAATGATAAATGGAAAAGCAGCAAGGATGCCAAAGACCAGCGACCTGAACCTGAAACTTGGCGCAAACCTATTGAAGAACCAAGACCTGCTTCATCTGACGCTGCTGGGAACCGCCCTGTTAAAGTAGTATCCGCCTTGGAGCTAGCCCAAGCATTCTCAAGGTCAGCCTCTGATCCAAAGAGTCAGAATATACCTTCTCCTCAAAGAGGCATGCCTGCATGTAATGATCAACCCTTTTCGCGACTGACGGAGACCCGTGAGCATTACTCACCACCAGCCACAGCGCCAACCTCACGACATCGAATCAATGGTTACTGAATGACAGAAATTAGATCTTGGTCATTGGGGGTTTAAACCTTGGGGCACTGAATCAGTCACATGGTCGGGGTTTATTGGCACCAGGCATTGTTTTCATTTGAAGGGCTTTCAAGTGAGAGCATGACAATACAACAGGAGCACAACGCCCCTGTAAGATCATCAATTGTTGAATGACTATTATTTTAATGCTACCTATATTAGCATATGATTAACTTGCAACCGTTTTTGTTCTCTTTAATTTATTTTTTATTTTACTGTATCCTTTTCCCTCCTTTTTCGTCTAGACATCCATGAAGCGATGAAGCCCTTGAAACAGGTTTTAGATATCAAGAGGGAAACATGGGTGAATCGGATCCTGAGATTGCTTAACCACAGATTGGGTCTGTATTATATATAGACCTTAAGTGTGTGAAAAAAGAGATTTTTTTTTTTTTCTTTTGGAAAGAAAAATAGAAACTTGGCAGTATTCAAGAACAACATCAAGCCAGGCAGCCCCTTCCGCTCTATACAATTATCCATGGTAGATGCAATTTTTTACGAGAGATTATCACATATTTGATGTGAGTGTTAGCTGTAGCTGCATACACGTTCTATGAACTTGATACCGATGCGACACTGGTGAGCTTTTATTTATTTATTTTTTTCATTAGACAAGTTAGAAGGAGAAAAAAAAGAATAGTAAAGAACAAAATAAATAAATAAATATTTTGAAATAGAAAATAAAGAGTCTTGACAACTAGCAATATGAATCTCGATCATCGATGACGAAACCTTCAATTTAAACATTGAATTTCCTTCAAAAACACTAGTTGCTGCATAGCCCTCTGTACTCCGCCCTATATTTGCATTATTCTCCAACCCTTTTACCATTATTTGTCAAAAAAAAAAAAAAAAAATCTCAATTAACAAATTTAAACTAATAGATGAGATTTTAATATATAATTTACTTTATTTTTTTAACATATTTCCCGCCATGTCGTATTAATCGTCTCTAATGACCTACGCAAAACCATATATGATGATTCCTTGTTGAGGCAATCACGAGAGAAGGTGAAGGAGGTGGAATCAGCCGAAGGCATTTTTGAATTGTTGATTTCGAGTGGAGCGCTTATTGAACGACATAGATGGTGGAGTGTCAAGTGGTCGGGTACAAGGGGTTATTCTTACATATAAATAGAATAATCAGATTTCGAGCCATGAATATGATTTGTTTTTTGTTAGCTTTTTGTATGAATTTGATTCGATGTGTTTTTGATCCATTGGACTCTAAAATAATTCATTCAAATTAGACTCCCAAGAAAGTGGGATCAGACGTTCTTGGATTTTGATTTTAACGATTTCCAGGAGATTTTGGAATTCTGGGCGTTGGAGATTAGAAGCAATGTTAGTTGGAGGGGATAAAAATTGAAGGGGATTGTTTAGTTTCTATTTTGTGAGCAATGTGTTTTTTTAACCTTCAGTTTTCAGTATATGGTTCTAGAAGCTGGAAATGATACTAAAAAGAGGGCTAAACAAGCCATATGTGTATAGCGTGTGATTAAATTAGGCTAATAAATAAAGTTACAAGCGTTCCTAACGCAATTTCTTATGTTTTTTTCTTCTTTTTTTAATTTAAAATCATTCATTTATTTTTCCATTTTGTTTTTTTTTTTTGTTAAAAAATTGTTTTTTATGACCCATATGACAAAAAGAATTTTTGCGACAGTATTACATGTACCGCACATCATCATCAAATAAATAAAATTAACATAACCATTCAAATAATAATAATAATAATAAAATTAGGCCCTCAAACATAAAAAAATATAAAATTACGTACTCAAAACATTAAAAAAAAAAATACACACCAAATGCATAATAATCTCATTTTTCCCAAGCTAAAAAAAAAACTTGATCAAAAGATAAACGGTGTCGGAGTGAATCCTGAAAATGACATCTGCATAGCAAAACTTTGTGTGTCTGAATTTTTCATCACTTTGGTAGCGTGTGCTTTGGCTGCTTTCTTCTCAGAAGACTGATCACCTGGTTTTCTCCGTCTAAATGAAACCATCCTGTCTTCTGATATAGCCGAAAGGGCCGGTCGCCATGATCCACGTCCTCTTGATCTGCTTCTCCTTCCACATCCCGGCGTCAGTAGTGGAACATCACCATTAATCTCAGTGGTTGCTGCTACCTCCTCCACTCCATCCGCATCCTCCGCCTCAGGAGCTGCTGCTATTGTTGTGGTTGAGAAACAACATGAACCTAAGCGTCCAAAGAACTTCATGGTTTCTTCCTTGCTTTGGTTTCTTGCAAGAAATGCTGAGCTTGGAGCTGTTTTATAATGGTGGTTTCCAACGTCTACAATTTATAGGCAGGATTTGCGTAGGAGAGTGCTTGTCCTGTCAGTGCGTTTTATAGGAGTAATAAATTTGATCTGTACTGTTACTTCCATCAACATCTTATGTATGTTTTGTGGAGAGATTTTTTTTGGCAACGTATGCTTAGAACCCAAGTTAATTATTATTTAAATTAATTATTTATTTTGATTTGCAGTTTCTTTTTTTGTTGTTTTTTCCTTGGGAATCTTGGAATTCTTCATTTTTCATTTTTGTAGGCCACCAACCAGGTTTACGGGTTTAGATAAATTTAGTTGAGTCAAATTATCTACAAGTCTATCTATGATTTATCCGATCAAATAATGTGAATTTAAATTTATAATTAATTATATAAAAAAAATGAAGATTGCATAAAAATAATATATTGATTTTTTCATAGCATTTAGAAGAAAAGGTATTGGGAGATCCCTCATAGCTTTTTATTTTTTATAACGATGGTTAATTCAATCTGTTATGATAATTAATATGATTTTTTTTCTTATTTCACTGACTGTTAATGTAAATCTCTTAATTGATTATCAGTTAATCGATCCCTTAATTGATTGTCAGCTGCATGGCCATATCTATTAAAAAAAAACCCACAATGTGAGCACTAGATCACAAGCTTTTGTTTTATTTATGGCAAAAAGATAAGAGAGCGTTAATCAACTATATATTGTTTTTATTATCCGTAAAAAATGTCATTCATGGTACAGGGCTTTGGTTCTATGAATCCTTATCTGCTTTTCTTCTTCGTCTAAAACCAGTGCACTAGCTAGCTAGCTAATCAGTTCATTCATTTACTTGTAACCTAAACCTTTTCTTTTAAGAACCATTCTTAGGATTCAATTCATATCATGATTAAAAAAAAAAAAAAAAAACTAAACCAAAGTATTGGTTTACTATTCATCCATACTGTTCTAACAACTGTTCACTCATATTCATTTTATTATTTATATGGACTCAAATGCACTGTTCATTTTAGTATAATTTTCAAACTTTATAAAATTAGTTATTATAAAAGTTTTTGTAACATTAATGCCACACTTTAATTTCTTTTTCTTAGAACATTATTTTTTTTGGTCCTCAACTATTTTTGTTTTATTTTGATCATTTTGGTCCTTGTTTTTTTTTTCTAATTTTTTTAATTAAAACTTTTAAGGGCAAAAAGATGTTTAGAAAAAAAAACATTTAAAAAAAACGTAGTTAAGAATCCATTGATTTTGACAATTTTTTCTTAAATTATTATAATTTTTTTTAGTTAAAAATGTAGATAGAGATAAATAAATAATATTTTTTAATTAAAAATTTATGAAAAATATAAAGAATAATCAGTCAAATATAAAATTTTGATTAAAAATAATAAAATCAAATAAATTTTTATTTATTTTTTATTTGAAGTATTTTGATAAATACACAATATAATACGAGACATCAAACTGAGATAATTTTATGTGTTTTGTTCAACCTGCAGTGCAACGTAGAGGAAAAAAAAAAAAAACTAGTTCACGACTATAAAAAAAATCTAATAGTTATTCCTCTCTCTCTCTCCTCTCTTACGGGAATCATCATGAGTCATGATGCATGACGAAATTAATATCACTTTCAAACTGGCTATTTGGTTTAAATTTGTTGATAAAGACCCAATTTATGGTTGGTGGTATCTATAATATTTGCGTGTTGAACAGGGAAATGCATGGCCTGCCGGAGACGAGAGGGTAAGGCATGTACATATGCCCTCAAATGGGTGGTATCACTAAATCAAATGGATTATATCATTATTTTCCTTTCTAATAATCGCAACCTAAAAAGTATATAATATATTTTGAAATCTCAACAACAATTTAAATTTTTGAATATAATATTAAAGATAAATATACTTATTTGTTTTTATATAATATTTAAAGTCTCCTTACTAGTCTTAGATTTTTAATTGTATTTTATTTGTTTTTTAAACTTTTTGAAAGGTTGAATCTATCATTCTTATTAAATTTTCTGACAATGAATAATTTTTTTTATCGAAATATCATTTACTAAAAAAATATATATACTTAAAGTTACATGACATGCATGTTTTATTTTTTAAATCTTTAGTTTTTTTTTTTTTTTTTACATTTCAATTAAATGCATTTTGATTAAAAAAAATTATATATTTGATAAAATTAATCGAAAAGATAGATTGATCATTTCAAATGTTTTTAAAAATAAATGAAATGAAATTAAAAACTTAAAGACATATGAAAGACTTTGAGTATTAAAAAAAATTTGATGCGGTTATTGTACTTAAATATTTTTTATATTTTTTAAAATATGAAACCCTATGAATAATAGAGAAAAACCATGAGAAAAAAATATAAAGACATATATTTAATATTATATTCAACAATATAAATTATTTTAGATACTTCAAGTTTCGAATTTCAAAAAATAAAATGTGAAAGCTTAACATCATACTGACACTTTGGGATTTGACCATAAACTAAAAAACTCAAGAAAAATAATTGGTTATTGTAGAGTTACTATTTGAAATACTCGCTCATGCTCTTACAATTTTTTATTCACCCTCTCACATTTCACCGTGCGTTTCACTATTCATGGCTTTTTTTTTACACTTTGGTCCTTGATATTTTTAAAAGCACATTTCGATTCACATGTTCATTTGCTCATCCATTTTGGTTCTCGGGTGGAGAGAGAAAGCTGAGAGGAAGAGAGAGACGGGAGGAGAGAGAGATCGTCGGTCAATTTTATTTAGGCCACTCGGTCGGCAAAAATCCATTAGATTTGTTTATCTTTGAAAGATGAATTTATCCATGGTGATTTCAAGCATTAAACAATTAGAGGAGGTAAATTGAAGCCAAAAAAGAAAAAAAATCTGATTTGATTTTGTATTTTTCTTTCTTTTTTGTGTGTATTAATATGATTTTTAAGGTTTTAATTGTGTTTATTGGCTTTATTTCGGTCGTTTAGAGGTGTTAAGGGAAAAAAATGATGTCGAAATTCAATTTTTACGGATCCGAAAGTTGACCCTCGATTTTTTGACGAACTTGAAGTTGTAGAGTAAATATATATATATATATATATATATATATATATATAGAGAGAGAGAGAGAGAGAGAGAGAGAGAGTATATATCTAATTATATTAATTTTTTTGCGATTTAGCCAATTTTTAAATTTATTTTATTATTTTTATTATTTTAAATCTATAACTTTAATTTGTCATTTTATTTCAAATTCTTATCCAATTAATTTAAAATTATATGGTCCTCAATTTTTTTATACAATATATATATATTTTTTAATTTCAAACTTTAATGTTATTCTAATTTGATCCTATTTTATTTTAGTATTTTTTGTTGATTATTTTTATTATTTAAAATTTATTATTTTAATTTGTCATTTTTAAAAAATTCTCATCCATTTAATTTCAAATTACATTAAAAAATTTAAAATATTTTTTTATTTTTGATTTTATATATTTTTATACATTCATATCATAAAGCACAATATCAAATTAAAATAATTTTATATATTTTATTTTATCGGTAGCGTAATGCAGATAAAAAAATATAATTAATGCTAAGCCACATGATTAAGTAAGTAATCGATACTATTCTAAACTAGTAGGTGTCTAATGATTGTTGGTGTAGCTCCCCCATCTTCAAAGCATCCACTGCTCTACCGCACGAGACACCTTCTTTAAACTTCTTTAATACTCATTGGCCTGAATTTCAAAATCATTAAGAAGTGCTTATTCTCGAAATTAAAAGTATGTGTTCCATAATCAAGTGTTAGTTGACTTAATTAATAATATCTTATATGTTTTTACCAACTTGTTGGCATATCAAACTAGTTTTCAAGTAATTTTTTTATTAATACATAAAATTTAAAATTTGAAATCATATTTATTAAAAATTAAAAATTGATAGTTTTATTTCAAAAATAATTAATTATATTTCTAATGAAGGATGAGATTGAATTAAAAAAATAAAATATCATACATTTTTTTTAGCTTTAATTTTATCTTAAATTTCACCCTAGTCAATGGCCTGCAAAAGCAAAACAGTCGGCACTGCAGTGGCAACATGGTACTGGTACGACGTTGTACAAGAATTGAAGCAATTATTATAAACAGTAAAAGCATGATGTGCACAGTATCCATATCTATTGATTTTATTGGCGTCATTACATTTGACTTAAAAAGTTATTATAATAGGGATTTTTACTTGAAAATTAAAAAAATTAGACTTCCTCAATTGGTTAAGGCTTCGTTTGTTTGGTAAAAAACAAAATTCAATTGGAAAAGCAATAGAAAAAGCAATTCTAGAGAAATTATTTTTAAAAAATTATTTCAAAAAATTATTTTTTAATATTTGATAATTATAAGAAAAAACTGTTAGAAAATATATTTCAGTATTTGTTAGATATGGAAAACTCGAAATACAAAAATAGATTTTAATTGTCATATCAACGAGTTTTGAGAAAATTTCAACAATACATATTTACAATCTCAAAATATAAAAATTATTAAAAGATCTTACATCCATAATAGTCCATATAAAAAAAGTTACTAAAACAAAACATATGAGTTACTAACATATTGTTGTACCAAAACAAAAAGCATCAGTTATAATCAAGAATATATTGAGACAGAGACCCATAGTTTTGAAATATGATTTGGACCATAATTTTGTTTTCCATTCAAATGTAGGAAATATTTTAAATCAATTTACAATTGAAACTAAATCTTTTTTTTTTCTTTTGAAAGACTTTTAAAACATTTTTTAAAATCGGTAAGATTAATTTAGAAAAATTTAATAAATTTTTATAAATACTAACTCTAAAATTTAAATTCAAAAAATAAAAAAATAAAATTTATATTTTTAACCATCAAACCAATTCATCAAAAC